AGGGGTTTGGTGGTCAGCGCCACACCCGACCGCCTTTGTCTCCCCATTGGAGATGTTTACACACCGCACCATGCACTAATTTGAGGCTGAGTCGACCTAGGGGAGGTCCAGGATCGACACATACACACTGGCGTACACACACAATATGGTCTGTATCCGAAACGCCTTAAAATTCCAGGAAGCTGAAACATTGGACCGTTGGGTGTGAGCATGCAGGGAAGGGTGTGTGGTTACGGGGGTGGGGTCGTGTGGGATGTGGGGGGTGTGGTACGTGTGTCCAGTTCGACTCCCACTCACGGCTTACACCAGTGACCGTTATTTCAAACGGTCCTGGGCGTCCCCTAGGTCGACTCAGCCTCAAATGGGCACAGTACCTGGTGTGGTGTGTAAACATCACCAGTGACGATTATCTGAAACGGTCCTGGGCGCCCCCTAGGTCGACTCAGCCTCAAATGGGTACAGTACCTGGTGTGGTGTGTAAACATCGCCACTGGGGAGACAAAGGCGGTCGGGCGTGGTGCCGGTCACCCAACCCCTCGTGTGCCGTGCCGGCCTTCATAGGTGTTCGCTAACAGCCCTTGCCCCAACAGTCTGTTAAGGCTATACGGGGCATCTTTGTCTTTGGTGGGGGGGGGGGGGATAGGGAATTTGGGCTGGCAACGCACCCAACATGTATGCCTCGGTGTCAATACAGTTATAAAAGATGGCCTCACACAGCCAGACACTTGGGATGATAAAACGCACCTCCATATTCAGCTGTACAATATTGGGGTGGCGGGGCGAAGTGGAGTGCATTTTATAATCCGAAAAATACGGCTTTATATATATTGGTTTGGGGGAGTGGGTGTGTGGGGGGCGAAAAGGGAGACGGGGGAGAGAGGGTGGTGAGGAAGTTCGTGGTGGTGTTGGGGTAGATTGGTGGTGGGTGTGTGGATGAGTGTGTGATTGTGGGGGTGTGGGTGGGTGTGTGAGTGTGGGGTGTGTGTGTGTGGGGTGAGGGTGTGTGTGTTAGGTGTGTGGGTGGGTGAGGGTATGTGTGGTTGGTGTGGGTGAGTGTGTGTGGGGTGTGTGTGATTGTGTGTGGGGCGTGTGTGAGTGTGGGGGTGTGTTTGGGTGTGTGTGGGGTGAGGGGGTGTGTGTTGGGTGTGTGGGGGAGTGGGTGAGGGTGTGTGTGGGGTGTGAGTGAGGGTGTGTGTGGTTGGTGTGTGTGAGTGTGTGTGGGGTGTGTGTAAGTGTGGGGGGTGTGGGTGGGTGTGTGGGGGGTGCTGGTGTGTGTGTGTGGGGTGAGGGTGTGTTGGTTGGGTGTATGGGTGGGTGAGGGTGTGTGTGGTGTGTGGATGAGTGAGTGTGTGTGGGGTTTGGGTAGGTGTGTGTGTGTGGAGTGTGGGTGGGTGAGTGTGTGTGGGTGGGTGAGGGTGTGTGTGGTTGGTGTAGGTGTGTGTGGGTGTGTGTGTGTGTGGAGTGTGGGTGGGTGAGGGTGTGTGTGGTTGGTGTGAGTGTGTGTGTTGGGTGGGTGAGTGTGTGTGGAGTGTGTGTGGGGTGTGTGTGGGTGGGTGAGGGTGTGTGTGGTGTGTGGTTGGTGTAGGTGTGTGTTGGGTGTGTGGGGGGGGGGTGTGGTTGATGAAACGTTTCGGAGGCGGGGGAGGAAAGGGGTTGGGCCTCGTGTGTTTCAAGTGACCCCCCCCCCCTACTTCTCTATCCGATTCGCCACTTCCAAAAAAGGCCAACAAAGTCAAAGAGGCTGTCTGGTGGTGGTGGTGGCGTGTAAAGACACGTGGCCAGGAGTCGGAGCCATTCATTCCCTGTTCACATTGGGGGGCGTCCTCTGATTCCTCACATTATTTAACATAATCTTTGAGCACGTAGTTGGAGAAGCTTTCCATGGCTGTACCGGAGGAATTTACATCTGGTACAGATACAACGGGAGGCTGATCGATGCTCGAGTGCGTTCGAGGGATGGCTCCTTATTGGTCAACCAGCTTATGTATGCTGATGATTTGGAGGCGCTGCTGCTGAACCTGGAGTGTGCCACTCAGAGGTGGGGTCTTTCCATCAGCCACACCAAAACTAAGCACCTGCCTGGGTATTTTGTGCCACCAAACACTCCACCTCCTCAGCTCCCCATTTGGTGATGGAGCAGTTGTGGAGTGAGTGGAGAGTTTCCCATATCTGTGCAGTGTGCGTATGACCAGCTCGGGTCTGACAGCAGAAGTCCCACTCCCAATCAGTCAGGCGGCATTATCTTTTCATCGGCTGCGCGATGCTGTGTGGATGCTACCTGGTCTGTCGCTCCGCACGAAGCTTCGGGTCTGCTTTGCCACAGTCATGCCATCCCCTCTCTTTGCTCGTGTAACGTGGACCCCTCTAATGGAACATCTGCGCCGGTTAGAAGCATTCAGGCTGGCATGTCTACGATCCATCCTGTGTTTAACCAAGCTGGATTGTGTGAGGAGCTCACAAATCCTTGAAAGATCTGGACACATTCCCATCAGTGAGCTCCTCCGGCATGCCCAGCTACCGCATGCCCAAGCAGCTTCTGTTTGGCTGCATAGTGGGGGCTAAACGGGCATGAAATGAGCTGGAGAAGAGATGGAGCGATGCGGTATGGGAGGATGTGGAGCTGAGTGGAATTGCCGAAGACTGGTACCAGCGGTTTCAAGATCGGCCTCTGTGGAGGAGGTTCATGAAGGACGCTGCTACTGGGCTGTTGGAAACAATCGCTCTCCAACAACAACGGAGGACAGAGGAGCGACGCTCACAACAACGAGCGGAGCGCCGGGCGTCTAAAACGCAGCAAGTTGACACAGTGGGGGGAACAGCTGGTACATCTACCGGTCATCTCAGTCAGCCAACCCATTGGCATCTGGCTCTGTCCTGAGACCTCTTGTCAGCGAGCCTTCGACACTTCACGTGGCCTTAAAGTGCACCTGGCCTGGCACAGGCGCCGCGGTGACGTCACTGTCACTAAGTGGCGAATGGCGGGTATCGGTATTGGGAGTAACTCTATGTTAACTGAACATAAGCGGGCACACACACACACAAAAGACAAATATCCCCCGTAAAGCCTTAACATACTGTTGGGGCAAGTGCTGTTAGCGAGCACCTATGAAGGCCGGCACGGCACACGAGGGGGTGGTTGACCAGCACCACGCCCGGCCCCCTTTGTCTCCAAGCTTGCGATGTTTACGAATCGCACCAGGTACTCATTTGAGGCCGAGTCGGCGTAGGGAAGGCCCAGGACCGGTTCATATAATCGTTCCTGGTGTTGACCAAGAGCGAGAATCGAACTCGGGTCGCCGGGTTCGTAACCCGACCAACGCGCTCCCCGCTACACTCTCCAATATAAATCCACAGTCAGGAATCGAACTCGGCTTGCTGAGTTAATAGCGCAATGCGCTAACCGCTGCGCCACCGCTCCCTACTAAGATAAACACGCACGCCTGAACGCAAGCACGAACAGCCACACCCCAGGATACCCAGCTTGGTCTAATATATACAATATAGATTTATAGATTTCTGCCACGGCTTCCAAGGAGAAGACCTAAACCCAGATGGTGGTGGTGATGAGGCTATCGTAAATAGGGGGGAATTGGGAGGTTGCGTGCCAAACTTTGGCACAGCTGCGAGGTCTTAGAAGGAAGGAAGCGATAGCTGTGCTGTGGGTTGTGTTGTCATCACGACCGCGGGGCTAATCGATTTTTTTTGTAAGTCAACACGGTATTTGGTGACACTGCTGCGTTGGCAGCGGCACACAGGGACCAGTAACAATAATCGAAGGACCGTTGCCAGAAACGTCGGATATGACATATTTTTAAATCCTTTATATTAAGTTCGCTTGCTTGCTTGCTTGCGTGCTTGCGTGCTTGCTTGCTTACGACCGTTCAAATCTTTCGGTCGTTTTTTAACCCACTTCCCGTGATCCAATCGAGCTGACACTTTCCACACAGACTCGTTGTGCGTGACAATTAATTTTCGTGAAATTTTTTTTGTAAAATTTTACACTGTTTAGGGGAAATATATATATATTTAATTACCAATTGCTTAATGCTGGCAGACAATCATCTGACCCATAGGTGGCAGCCATCTCAAGCCAGAGGACGAGATGACTCTAGCCGCCACGCATATAAAGGATTTAGAGTGAAAAACTTTGTTTTTACGGGTTAATTTTTCCTTTTAAGGCAACAGTGATATTATTTAGGTAATTGATTACTCTGCCGATAATCGGTTCGACTACTTAACTAATGAGGAGAACGCGAACAGTAGTTGGGGTGAAATAAAAAATGTCTCGCCACCGTTCGTTCCCACGTGTGGCGCTGGACGGGAGGTGGTGGGCGGGCATTAGTGACGTCACCTCAATCAAGTGGCTCGCAGGGGATGCAATGCATGCTGTCGGGACGGCCGCTAACTATTAAAGAGGGGCACCGGTTTCATCGACCACAAAGTAATCGATTGTAATCTATAGACAAATGGATCTGGATCGCGAGGACTCACTGACCACTATCGTTTGAAGAACAAACTAAACCCACTCATGCCGTGGGGGGGTGGGGGAGGGGTGTCTCATTGAGACCGACTCTCCTAAAAGCCACTGGCAAAGCCGGTCACTTTGTTTCTCGATCACAATCAGCAATCTTAGCTGCGGGGAAGGGGCCACGGGGGTGTGGCGCTCACTGGCTGCTGAATTCCCACCTCCCCACAATCAGATACCCCCCCACCCACCAAAGCCCCCCACCCCTCCTCCACGCTGTCAAACACAGCCCCCATTGGCCGAGTTGAATAAAAAAAAGAGAGATATCGGCCAGAGGGAGAGTTGCGCTTCGGAGGATGGATGGATGGATGATGGGGTTGGGGACATCCACGCGGGGTGGCTCGGTGTGGATTGGTTGCGGGGAAGGGAATGGGAGGCGGGGGAGAGCTGGAGGAGAGAGGGGGGCGGTGGAAGGATGTGGGGGGAGAGGCTGGGGCATGGTTGTTGGGTGCGTTGTTGTTGCACGATATAAAGACAAGGCGAGGGTGGGTGGGGGGAGAGGAAAGGAGAGAAGGAGCGAGAGCGAGGATTTGGGCTGAGACTGCCCAGCAACGTTCCTTTAACCCCCCCGCCCCGCACCATCTCCGAGTCGATCGAGGTTCGTCGCCACTCCACAGTCCGCTCGCACTACCGTCCGACGCGCCGAGCCACCGCCAGCATCAGCACAGAGTCGGGTGAACGAAGCCGGGGGTCCGTGAACGCCCAGTCGGTTAGTGCGTGAGTGCGCGCCTTGCAGACAATAGACCCAGATAGACGCAGAGAGACAGACGGGAGTAGACAATCAATACCGTGCACGACTGCTGCTGCTGCTGCTGCACAGGGCGGAGCCGATCGGTCCACGACAACCACCAGAGCAAGAAGCACGTAAGTTGAGCTCCGGTTACGCGTCCGCCCGTGCGTTTTTCATTCATCGCGGTTCAATATGATCTCATCGTCATCATTATCATCATCAGCAGCAGCAGCCACGGTCAATTCACTGCTGGATGAAGGCCTCCCCCTAAGCAGTCTCTCACGATCCTCCCGCTGGGGATGAATCCGCGTCGCCACTTGCACAACGGGCCGATTCCATCGCGCCATCTGCACGGTGCGAGATCCTTTCGGATGCTTTCAATGACTGGGTTACCTCTACCGCTATGATTCTTGACTGTCGGCCATCATTCCGTCTTGTTTGGTCTATACACGGTATATATACTATATACACACACAAAGGACACAGATTCCTCGTACAGCCTTAAACGGGGATGTCGAGAGCAAGCGCTGTTCGCGAGCGCATGTTAAGGTTGTCACGACGCACGGCGGAGCGGTGTCGGTCAGCGCCACGCCCCAACCGTCTTTGTCTTCCCGCTATCGTCGTTCTCTTTTTTTCTTGACACGACGCACCACTAAAGGTACGTTCACACTTTAAAGGCTGGGTTCAGCCAAAGAAGGCCCGGCACTGCTTGCAGATAAAATGTGACACTGATGTTGCCCGGGGCCTGGAATCGAACCCAGGTCCGCCCGGGTTTCGGAGCACGGCGTCACGCACGCTGTCGGGACTGTTATAATCATTTCCCGCAACACAAAGATTCGCAATCTCGCAGGGCTCGTGTCCCACACCCACCGCATGCGCATCCCCACATTTACCAGTGTTCTGCGATGGAATACTAATGAAGCCGTCGCACGCTACACGCGCCGGATGATTGGTCAATCACGGACGGATTCCGCTCTGCGTTCAAATGAAGACGTCTTGGCGCGTACGCGTGCCGAGTACGCGTGATCAGTTGCGGCTGTGTGGTGCGTGTGAGTCGTGTGGTACGTGTGAGTCGTGTGGTACGTGTGTGGCGTGTGGTACGTGTGGTGCGTATGATCCGTGTGGTGCGTGTGAGTTGTGTGTGTCTGTGGAGTCACTGGGTGGCACGGTGCTACGAACCTGTGCCCGCCTGAGTTGGATTCCCGGCCACGGCTTGTTTGTATAACCAGCGACGAGTGTGATACTCTTATCAGCACCGGTTCCGCGCCTGTCCGCTATGTCGGTTCAGCCTTAAACGACGATCGGGTTACGTTCTGTCCAGATTAGAATTGGAAAGACAAAGGTGTCCTGGCGTGGGTGCTGGGGTGGGGGTCCCCTTGGCCACACCACCCCCTCGTGTGCCATGCCAGCTTTAATAGGCGCTCGCTAACAACACATTTTCAAACGCTACAGACTTGTGTATATGGTGGTGGACGTTCGTCCTTGAATGTTCATAGCAATGTTTATCCACGCATCGAGCATCTTTACAATCTGATCCGAACGAGATCGAAAGTGGAATTTAACCCGCAGCATTCTCCCTCCTGCTGGTGGGTGAGGAGGGGCTGGGCTGCGTTCCACACACTTTAACTAAAAAACTCTATTCTTTATTTGACCATGTAAGGCCCACTGAGCTACATACAGTAGCTCTGTTTCAGACGCGACCTGTACACAAATGACAGCTCAACGACGAAGGGGTTAATCACGTGGAAATTTATAGCAGCCAAATACTCTAAATATTCTAAATGTGTGGAAGGAAAAACCGGAGGATCCGGAGAAAAGTTCCACGCGGGAAGGAAAAAAAACATACAAACTCCAAACATAGAGCAGGCGTCAGGGTCGGGATCGAACTCACGGCCATCTGTATCACAGGCAGGGATATATCTTGATATTGGCAGGGGGGCGAACAATGGATTTCACACTACCCCGCTAAAAGTCTCTGTATATAAGGAAGTACAAGCCAATGCTTCGCGGTAATTATCGTTACCGTGTCCTTTTGACTGGTTAAAATACCATCTATTGTAATGTATAGAGTAGTCACGAATCAATCCACTGCTGGATGAAGCCCTCCACACGATCTGTCGGTCAGTGCGGAGTGGTGAACGCTGGTAGCTTAGAAGTACAGTGCAATACAACAATGGATTTAGCCGTACTGCCCTCTGCTGCCCAGCACGGAGCTCTGCAGCCCTGTGACGAACACTGTTCAGACTCAACGACTGCTTCGACTTTGATATCTTATGAGGTCAGAGGCGTAGCTCGGGGGGGGGGGGCAGGGGGGCACATGTGTCCCCGGGCGCCAAGGTAAAGGGGCGCCAAAATGAGACTTACAACGTTACTTTATAATCTTCTTGGTTCTATCGGTAAAGTCACGTAGAATGGAAATAATAAAATAATAAAAAGAAAACTTAATAAAATAATTGAGAATTATTTTATTAAAATAATAGAGAATTATTTTATTATGTTAATAAAATAATTGAGAATTATTTTATTATGTTAATAAAATAATTGAGAATTATGTTATTATTTTTATTATTGTATTATTTCCACCAGGAAGATGAATCCCTGCAGTCACGAAAGCTTTAAATCTAAAGTTACATTATAACTTATTGCGGCGGGCGCGGCAGCCTGAAACTACTGCACACATCCACACCTCAACCTAAAAGTTTATATATCCCGCCACACACAGCCTACATGTCACGGAATTACAATTTGGTATGTGATTCAACGGGGGGGGGGGGGGGGGGGCGCCAATTTTATAGTTCGTCCCCGGGCGCAAAATATCCTAGCTACGCCACTGTATGAAGTTGCGGCATTTTTGTCTTCGGCACGATTATGAACGGCCTTCATTCACCCACAAAAGCCGCACCTCGCGGAGTCACAAGACATTTTCAGGAGCAAGGGGTGGCGCGGGGTGTTGGGGGGATATTTTCTGTAGCACAGCCCCGGACAGCTCCCGCTGAAATGAAACCTGGTCCTGCTACCGTTGGAATGTTTGGGCCAGTTCCGTTATGAAAACAAAACCCAGCACGGATCCATAGCGGGATTGTTGTTACACTCAATTAGGCTTGCAGGCCTTGAGTAGGTCCTCATGCAGCAGTGGATTGACTGAACTACTATTTAATTTGACCAGGTATCGCCCACTGAGCTATCATGTATATTTTTCTAAAGCGACCTGGCCACAAATGATAGCTTAAGCAAGTGGCGTATCACGTGGTCATTTATAACAGGAGCCAAATACTCTGAACGCACGGCGATTCTAAATGTGGAGGGGAAAATCCGGAGGAGAAAAATCCACGCGACCACGATGAGAGAGGCAGCGTCGGAATCGAACCCATGGCCTCCTGCATACCAGGCGAAGTAGTTAACGTCTCATCACAGCGGCGGCGTTGTACATGTACGTGTGCATTGTTGTTAATAGTAATCATACCACTTTGTACGTGCTGACTTGAGGCTGTCTGAAAATTTGACCCAGACGCGTAAACCACACGGGGGACTATCAGGCACCAGCATACCCGGCAAAAAACACTTCCCACATCCTTATTAGGGCTTAATGCGTCCGCAGCTGATACGAATGCGTGAGCCATTTCGCGTACTATCGAATGCTAGCTGCCTGTTTACATTAGCGCCAGTTTGTTCTCTCTCTCTTCCTGGGGTTGCTGCTCTGTATGTAATTTTATTTTTTGGGGGCGGGGGGGGTCCGAGAAAGTCGGCCCCTGCCGCGGTTTGTTCAGCCTGCAGAGAAATATTTACGAAGCAGTTTGGGGCGTCCTCACCCACAAAAAAAAATTGGCTTAAAGAGACTTTCATAAATTAGCGTCCTGACAACAGGAAACAGATGTCGACACGTTATTAACTGCGCTCCGTGGAAATTTGTGGAAGAAGTTCCTGCCCTGCCTCGCCTCGACTGCTTGCATGCTCCCCCCTCCCCACCACTTCTTGTTAAACACATCGTCTTCCATTTTCGTATCTTCACGTCGCATTGAAAAAAATAAATTTGTAAGAGTTTATTGGCATTACCAGCTGCGGTGGGGAAGCCATTCCCTGCAACTTAACGTCCTCCACGTGTGTACGTTGAGTAGGTACGTTGAACTTCTTCTAGATTTTTGGATTTTTCTGGTAATTAACAAAAAAGTGGCTAACAATTGTGCCCAAAATTCAGCTTTCCAATTCTTTCAGAAAATTAAAATGTACATCGGTCGCTCAGTTCCGATCACACTGCGGCCTACGGCTGAAATTAAAGACCGTGCACAAAGTTTAAGAATTAAACACACGATCCCAACTTCGATGACTACATTTCAGTCAACTTTCGTCGAGTGACAGTCCGCTGCCAGCCATTGGACTATTAAACACTATCATGACCCTCGCAGCGATCTCAACTGAAATCAATACAGAATACGCTCTCAGCACGTGACCATACTTCACCACCGCGAGTCAAAGCGACGTCGGTATAGTTATGGGTCGGCGTGCGGTGTGGCATGACCTTTCGGCGACATCGCCAGCCGCTCGCGTTTTCCGCGGGCCTAGAATCAAACTCGGGTCACCGGGTTCACAACGCAGTGAACTATTGTTACAACTATAGCGTGTGGCGGGGAGGGGCGGTGTTACTTTCGTGACCGTACTTCACCATGATGCTGGCTCGTGCGGCCCGGTGAAGTTGTGGATGGTGAGGGCCGGTGTGGTTCAGATGGCTCGTCCTTTGTCCGCGGCTAACCGGGATTCGAACAAGATTTCACCGGGATGATCGTGCAGCTTAACCGCTGTCCCCCGCCTCCCCCTCGACCGAATAACTCCTTACACAAATCCGGCGTTCCCCCATATTAGGAGTCACCTCTCTGAGCTGGCAAAAGCCGGTGTTGACTCTGTGCCGAAATGATGGCGATTTTCTTGGAAATCCATCGGGGCCCAGAACTCAAAAAGACATTTTAGTTGCTCTTTTTCTGGGAGGCACAGACGGGGGCATCTTTCATCGCCAACATAAAACGCCGGTGCTGAGTTCGCGCGCGCGGGTCTTTGTCCCTGGACCTGCCAACAGCGGCGACGAGAATCGCGTGCACGCATGCCTGTCTGGTCTTTTGTGAAGTTCGCAGTCATCTTCGTC